GCCAAAACTATTTACCACCAGATATCGCCGAGTTTTAAAAATATTTTACAATCAGTACTTCTTTTTAAGTGATAATATGCACAATTTAACCACCTAACACATCATATGACAATTTGCGGAGAGTTTAAAGAGGGTGCAAGAAGCCCTCCAAAAAGCCTTTAAAAGGACGCATAGTATCTGACTAAAGCGGTGCATTTAGACGAGTTTCTCCTTCACCTACGGTCCACTTTTCGAAATAAGGACTCTCTATGACCTCATTAATGATTTTCTAAAGAAACAGCGTAAGTCATTTCAAAATTTTTGACGCAACAGCCGATCTCTCACATTGAGGAGTAATTGTACATTTCTCAAAAAAATTAATATGAATCATTCTAGATATTAGATTTTTGACAGTTTTGAATCAAAATTAGTGCTAGTATGAAAATGCCGGGACCTCTATATGATGATTTGAGGATAACTTATAAGATAAAAATGAGTTTTATCATAATAAGAACAATTGTAAGGACAGAAATCACCTGTGAAAATGATTCATTTTGATAGGTTCCCTCCTGACCCATGGTCCACACCTCGAAGTGAGGGTCATTACCTTTGAAATTGCCTTTCTTAATATAAAACAGCGTGAGTCACTGCGAAATTTGTAACAAAACCACATATCTCACTTATCGAGGTGCAATTGTATTATTTCTCAAAATGTAGGTTTTAAATCATTCCAGATATTTAAGTGTTAACAGTTTTGATGTAAATTGTAATAATACGTGAATATCATGCAAAAGGTATTTTCTATAAAAATTCGTGGGTAGTGTATATACTCTGACCGCAGAAAATGATAATAATGGAATATTTAATTTTAATGATGTCCCTTTACAATCTGCTGGCTGAGGAAAAATTGCGTAATTTCATGGTGCCAGAAGGCCACTTTTGAAGCCCCACCCCATGGCCGCATGGACTCAAAGTCTGTCAAAGTAAAACATGGCATAAACATGTCTATACTCAAGGATAATGCACGAAGAGATGGTTAGATAACGGATTAAACACTTTTGCAAGACTTTAAAGTGACCCTCTCATCCGCTTTCAAATTGTTTTTTTATCCCTCTTTCGGGGGCGCAGGGGCTAGAGAAAAAGATTGCGTGACCAAATATCACCCAATTTGGTACTAAATGGGTCAGAGCTGTTGGAAAAATACAATTTCAGTTGTTAGTATCGACATAATTTTTCTCATTCATGTTTGTGAAAATCGCTCAAAAGTCCATCTTTAAGGTCAAAAATTTCAATTTCCTCAGTTTTCCTCAGTCTGTCACCCCTGAATCCTGAAAATACCCACTTCGGACTATAACATTCCGCATTAAACCGCTTGAGCGCAGTTGAGCGCAAAAAGAAATCGGACTCTGAATTTCGAAAAAAAAAACGTTTACTTTTACATCACATTTCAACCTCCTGTGAAAATCACTAAAAAAGGAAATTTCGAAAATACTGTGGTTAGTTGTGTAGAATATACCCCTAAAAATTTGTTGCATATCGCCGAACTTCCCTTTCATGGCCGCACAGTTGAAGTAAACTGATCGACGAGTAGCGCGCCGAAACATATCAAAATAATCGCTAAGAAATAGGTAAGTTCGTGGTCTCTTCGCGGGAAATTGAGCCACTCGAAAAATGGCACATACATGTCTACTAGGGTGAAAAACAGTGCAGATTTCGAATATCACATTCGTTTTCCAAAAAAAAAATATTTTAAATTGAGGTTTTGGCCAGGTTTTTCGGTCAAATACCACAGTGTATGCGCCGCCCGAATTCAGACAGAGAGACGTCTGGACGTCTGTTTCCCCCCTCTTCAGACTGCAAGAACCCTGTTCGCATTTTCTTTTCACTGCACGCCGCGTCGCCCGATTTTGTGAGGGAAAGCATGAGCATCCGGTGCAAACGTCGAAACCTGACAATTTGATCCGCTTATCTAGAATCTTTGAACGCCGATTTTCTGCCTGAAGTTATCAGGGGCGGACTGGCCATGAGGGCGGGGAGGCGATCGCCTCCTAACAATTTGCCACGGAGGTCCCGAAGGGGCCCCCGCGGCGAATTTTTTTCGAGTTATGGTTTTACCCCTGTAATGTTGTAATTTTTTTATCCTATTCAGTCACTAAAAGGTCCCAAAATCCTTGAAAATGTGTCTCTAAGTGACATGAAAGGTCGTCTAAAGCTTTTGTGATGAAGGGGCCCCCGAAGAATCCTGAGAATGGGTTATTTTGAAGTTCAAATACTGTAGAATTTGACTCCAATAATGCATAAAATTGCGTTTAAAAAGTGTGTAATTTTTTCACATTTTCCGGGGGAGGGCCCCCGGATCTCCTTAGAGGGGCCCCCGAACGACAGGAGGGGCCCCCAAAATCTAGGTCGCCTCCTAACTTTTCGACTTCCAGTCCGCCCCTGGAAGTTATCTTTTTAAGTTATCTGCACTATTTTACCACTTGAGCTGTTTGCGCTATCAATTTAAAAACATGCACGTAGATGGCTGTCCATGGTCGAAAAAACGCATACCTAACTTCAGTACCACATTTTGAAATATTTTATATCTTCATAAAAACTAAGTAAAAATGCCTCTGATTTTTCTGTGAGTCTATCGATGCGTAGAAATAATGTGCGAAAATTTACATAAAAGCTAATGGCTGGTTTTTTCATGGAAAAATAAAATGTGAGCGGAACATGCAGTCACGCATTGTTTTTTTTGTTTTTGTTTTTTTTACTTCAATCACAGTATAATTGGACTGCATTTTGCGAGAAGGAAGTACCATTAATTTCTGGCTCATTCGTAAAAACCCTTATGTGCATAAGGAAATTAGTGGTACACACGTCCTTCATAATAAATTGAGCAAGACATTGTAGTTCCTAATCGCCAAATGTAGTTCAAATTATGAAATTGCCCGAGATTGATAGATTTCGTAAATTCTTACCACCTTCTAGGTGTGAATAAATGTAGTATAAAAGCCTTAAGTGTAGCCAGAGTTTCGTGTGGTGACTGCGCAAAGGCTGAAACATTAGTGAAGAGGGGGGGGGGGATTTGCGCTAACGAGACGACGACGGGTCTGAGCATAGTCTCTGTTCGCCTACCCAAGATTCTCCGTAGGAAAAATTCTGAAAATTACTCCTGAAGCGGAATTCTTTTTTTTTGCTTTTAAAATGAAATATCATCGTGTCTTTTTCTATTTTTAAAAACAATCCTGATAAAATATAGGTCGAAAATCGATAAATAATTATTTTGTTCGTATCAATGACCACTTCGAGCTTTTTATCGATTTTCTTTTGATCGCAAATGGGGAATTAAAATCGACCATTTTTACTGTGAAAAAGCTGTTGGTTTTACTTTTGAATTCAGAGTTAATTTTGAAAATTTTCCAACATGTCTCACGTGTTGCTGTTGGTCTCACCCTGTTCATGGTCAGTTTCCAGTTTCGGTGGGGGGGGGCACAGGAGGATGTAGAACTTGGACTAAGGGGGTCTGGGAGGACTCCTTCACCTGCAGAGGGGGGCAGGGGGACCTTCCGCCGAAAATTTTTGAAAATAAGAACGCTTTGAGAGCAATTTTAAGCCATACTCTATAACAAAAAATAATTTTTAAAGATACTTTTTTTCCGGAATTCATTTCATACCCAAACTACTTACTAGAATTGAGGTAAAGGGCGTAGGGCATGTAATATAATATATGAGCCTAGTCCTAATATAATCGATCAAGGATGTCAGAAGATGAATATTTCTCGCAAAGAGAGCAGCTTCCTCCGAGTAAGGAACGTGGAATGTAGTTTGACTGTATCCAGTTGTGGTTTTTCGCGCATTTTAGCACAATACTTTTTTCCACTAGAGATACATTAAATTAAAACCCACAGTAAAATATGATATTTTTAAAAACAAGTCAGCAAAATTTCTTTCATCTGAATTATTTATTTTTTGTCATTACACGATTATTATAAATGGTACTCAAAAATCAGAAATTAACAATACACTTCAATAATCTTAAATGTAAGTAATTACAGTATAATTTATCTATTTTCTAAGAGACCGGAACCAGCCGTGGCTACTACTTCGGTTTGTGTGGGGGTTGGCATCCTATTATTTGTTACCTTATTTCTAGTTTCTAAAACTAACCTTATATACCTATATACCATGTTCCAATTTGCTTTTGTTTCCAACATGACCTTAATAACTGTCTCTTTTTTGATTTCGCGGTTCACGGCCGCCTGTATCGTATCTCTTTCCGAACGGAAATATGCGCAGCGGAAGAATGCATGATCAGGATCATCCCTCTCCGCGCCGCACATAAAACATCCTGGATTTTCTCTAATTCTGAACTTATGTAGATATGATCCAAAACAGCCGTGCCCTGTCAGGAACTGTGTCAGATAATAATCTGGGACACCATGTCCCCTGTTCATCCAGTCAAAAAAGTTACTACCGATTACTGCTCTTGTCCACCTCTCTCTGTCATCTCTCCAGTATATTTCATTGTACCATTTTCTCAATATATCTTGTCATTTTTTGTCATTGAGAATGACTTAAAATTGCTCTCAAAGCGTTCCTATTTTCAAAATTTTTCGGCGGAAGGTCCCCCTGCCCCCCTCTGCAGGTGAAGGAGTCCTCCCAGACCCCCTTATTAGTCCAAGTTCTACATCCTCCTGTGCCCCTCCCCACAGAAAATTCATAGTTCCGCTCATGAGTGGACAGGCAGAACCGCTGAGGGCCACGGGTTTTAAATACGTGGATTACCATTTATTGTCCCACAAGTATTCATTTTTTTCCACTTACATTACATTTTCTACAACGGTTCTTTTCAGCTATCCTTAATTTTTTTCGAGTTTTTTTCAAACTCGAAAGGGGTGAGGGGGGTGCTGGCACTGGTCGCCCTGGTATTGGCTATTCCGTCGTACCCACAATGCATTGTAATATTTGGAGGTTTCACCCGATTGGCTAACCGCGTTTACTCTTCCGTCTGTGACGTCATTTCTTATTTTGATTGCGCAATCGGGCATTATTGTTCAATGTCAATGGTTTGTTTTGGTCATGCCGTTCTGATAAGCTGATAAGGAATTTAACACCTTATTTTCTCCAAAACGTCGCCGCAAAATGTCGAAGTTTACCTGTCTTGTTCCTCTCAGATCATTTTTGGTTACCAAGGTAAGAATCGCGATATCCTTTTGTGATATAATGCATCTTTTTCAACTGAGTTACAATTTTACGAATAACCTCAGTTCCTCCAAGACCAATTTCTCAACGAGAATGATCTATAGTAATGCCTGTATATAACTAAATGAAGTTTTGGCTATGGATAATACGAAGAGGAAATTTCTGAGGTTTCATATAAATTTTTCTGTCGGTTAATCCTGCTGTGTCTCGATTAATTATTTCAACTCAATGAGTGTGTGTACCGGAATCATCACAAGTAGGTTCAGAGAATAAGTTCACAGTACCCAATTGTGAACGAGTCATTCAGTTAGTAAAGTAGCCCTCTTTATGAAATCTACTAATGATAGTAGATCGATTCCAATGAGTGTGGTCTCATAATATCTCTCAAGACATTTGATGGAGCCAAGGAAGAGAGTCATTACAGTGGGAAAGTAGTAGAACGAGATAACAATATCGCTGCTTTGAAGAGTCAGTTAGGTTATGTGATGATAATGATATAGGTAATGAAAAATCCCAATGATGGTAACATCATCACTAAGCAACTTGAGTGGCAATCAAGCATCAAGTATTGAATATAATTTTTACTTCAAATTGATCTTTTTGCTGTCCAGGGCAGCTTAAGCTCGTGTCTCTATGGCCCTTTTTCCAAATATCAATCCATAAGAATCAGAAACAATACGGCTGTGATAGTACTCAATAAATTATCAGAATTCATACTCTCTCTCCAAAATGCCATTAATTTTTCATTTAATCCTGAAGTTATGCCTTCTGCATCATTTACCTCAGAGTCTCAATTTTACTACTGTTACACCTCCTTTGTCTGTAACAGGTTGATGTCCTTCCATCAGCAAAACGTGCCTTTTCCTCAACAGCTGTAAGGCGCAGCCATGACCCGATGGAGCCAGAAATTCCTCCATACCAAGAAAAAGTTGGGGAGGCAATCAGCACCAAGAAAGCAAGGTGAGATTAATAAATTGCAACTTAAATTTTGCAAGAAACTTTATATTGCCAGAGTCATTTCATATGGCTGAACGGCTGTAATAGATTTCAGAGGTAACACCTATCTACTCAATGGGCATTTCACAAAATGCCTGCCCCTTTCACATTATAATGAATTATAAAATGAAATTGAAAAGGACGTACATAATTTCTAAAATCTTTTTTATTTCAAATCTGAGTCTAAATGAACTGCGTTGAACAGAAAGGAACCAAGCCACATCAGCTATTGCCAAATTTAACAGGGGAATTTGATTTTTTACGAGAGAACGATTGTGCGGATTCCTTTAACAATTTTAAAGAATTTGCTTTGTATTATGGAGAAAATTCGTTGAACTTTGCACACAAATCCGCCCAACCGTTTTCATGTAAAAAATTAAATTGCCTGTTTAAATTTGGCAATAGCTGATGTGGCTTGGTTCCTTTCTGTTTAACGCGGTCCAAATGATACTGTATCTAGATAAGCAAGAGTCCAGTGCATATGAAAACTCATGGTCTGTCATCGATGACTTGCAAAATTATGCTTGAATCAACTTGTTTTGTTTTCAAACTTGCATTTAAAACATATGTTTTTTCTTACTGTTATAGATTGTTGTACCAGTCCCGAAAAAGAGGAATGCTCGAGAATGGTCTGCTATTAAGCACTTTTGCCGACCGTCATTTGAAATCTATGACCCCTGCTCTAACGGAGCAATACGATAGGCTTATAAACCTGCCCTCCAATGATTGGGATATTTTCTATTGGGCAACTAATGTGAAACCAACCCCAAAAGAATTTGATAATGAGGTGATGAAAATGTTTAAGGAGCATGTTAAGAACACAAACCGAGAAGCTCGTTACTATCAGCCAGAAGTCATTACTTTTTAATATTTAAGTTCTTGATGCTAGAACGTGTTACAGGAGTAGCCACATTCAATTTCCTCTCGAATTTTAATGAAGTCTTGTTTTGAAGTTTCGATTTTCTCATGGCACTGTAAATTATTTAATGAAACCTTTTGAAAGTATACGATATTGACGAATAATGAACATGAGAACTCTAAAATCATTATTTTTCAAATTTTAGGGTAACCTCCCACATCTTTCTGTGCATTAATTTTCGAAGCATCGGAATCCATGAAGATTTCTTTGAGTTTTCTGCTTACCAAGCAGCACTATCATTATTGTTACCGTATGTTGGATGTGTAATGTTACATTTTACAGTATCCTCAGGTTTAAATGGCAAGAGTTGAGCTTTTAATGGTTATGATTCAATACTCTAATTTTTGATCCATTAATTTTAAAACAAGGATGATCAGTTTTGATCTGCAAACAGAATCTAATATTCCAAGTGGGTCTGTAGAAAAATACCTCTATGGTTCATGTATCGCCAGATCAATCGATTTCCCTCCCACTGCATGATGCATTGTAGAAGGTAATATGTGGCATTGAGTAACCTCAGCTATAATAATTAACAACTATGCTGTTAGAAAAAAGAAGGAAAAAAAGAGTGAAAGGTACGTTAAGTTTATTATAGAGTCCTCACCATTCTACAAAATTATCCGAGGATTGATTTGGTTATTCGAACATTGTTACAACACATTCTTAAAAGTAGTGATTCCTGTAATACTTGTACCTTCTTAACCCCTCATTTTGTATCGTGATATTTTGAGAATGCAAAGATATGCGCAATTATCAATTTTAGATCCACTTTATCATGTCATGTGTGAAAGCTGAGCCAGCTTTTTTCTTGTTAGGTTTAGGCTCTTTGTGAATGGTATGGTATTTTTACTGTCATTAATACAGACTCTCTGATAAGAAGCTTGTCAGAAGCATGTTAAAAATATCCACCTTTTTAAATTTTTATTTTCCTAAGTCTTATCATTTAAAGTAAACTTGTCACTAAGGTGAAACAGTATTTTATTGTTAAAACTTTCTGAATAAATTATATAGTTTTTGTGCTTTAAGACCTGTCATGTATTTTTTCTCACTGGTCTCATAGCAGTTCCAAGAAAGTCTCATCATTTTCACTTGGTCAAAATTGTATTTTTAATGAAACTCCATTTTGTTGATGCTGTGATCTAATTTTAATTTATATTTTTAAAAAAAATAAAAAAAAAAGTCAAAGAATGTAGAAGACAAAAGAGACAAAATCCTAGAGTATAGACATTTTGAAATACCCTTTCCATCAATTGTGAAGGCTAGGAGGCAAAGTGTGCCTTAACTTCGAAACTCAAATTTTCAGTGCAGCAAACTAAGTAGGTAACCAGTCTGACATCAAAGCTATTGATTTTCAGTTTGCAATGTTGAAAACTTTCTAGAACTCTCAAGAGTATTGGATCCCAAGCTTTCATTAGCATTATTAATGATATTGTTTATTATTATCAACCCTCCCATTTTAAACCACTTTTTACCTCACCATGTTACACTCTTTTTTTTTTTTCTTTTTTTTTTTTAATTGGAGCATTCTCAAGTTTGGCAAAGTTACGAATTTTTCCTGGATGATGACAGGAGGGTGGTAAAAGATACTTTGAAGTTTAAGTACTTATAACTGCAACAGGGTTATACTTCAATATATTTTAGGTTTTAACCATCAAAAGCATTGAAGCTTCAAAAATATTTTAAAACTCTTGAAGAAACTATTAAAACTCCCAAAATAAAAATGCAACCTTTTACTTCCATAGGGTTCTCATATATATTTTTATTCATAAATGCTGGGCAAATATTTTATGTGAAGTATTTGTTTTGTTCATAGCATCGAAGCTTCATTTTGCCTTTCACATCAAAATGAACGATTTTTAGAATGAATCAAAAAACAGTTGAATATAAACTGTTCTCAAACCTTTTTGTTTTCTCTTTTTTTTTTGATTTTTAGTGATTTTATCTCATATTGTTGTAGGTAGGTAAAGCGATTGAAATGGAGAATTATAATTACTTTCGAGATCTGTTGCTTTGATTCCCTTAATGTTCTACCTGTGCTGATTGGGAGCTTTAGCAACCCTGTAATGTGTCTTCAACAGCCTAATTTTATAGCAATGATGTAGAGTTTCACCTGTCAACTTATCATTTTAAAAATTTACAAGAATAATTTTCGCAGAGTCTTAAAGAAAATTCACTACGAATTTTAAAGAGAAGCTATACCGTTCTTGAATAAATTAAATAAATTTTTCCGTGCTACTCAGCAATGTTTCAGTGCAATTTGCGATAGCGGGACGCAGTGGCGTAGAC